GTTTAAGACACGGTAAGCATCTCACATAATTCAGCATTAAAAACATTTTCTTTCTTGTTTAACTAAGCATCCCAACCATGGTAACCTAAGCCATAGATGGTCTCAAGGCTTTATTAAAGTAAATTAAAGAGTTCGATCCATCGTTCGAGGTGTAGAAAACTTGAGTTAAAAATGTAATATATCCCTTTTTGTTTACTATTAATTAGGGCCCTATGACAGACATTCTTTTCCTTATTGGGTTGTGCCATAACTTATTGATTAAAATTTAAAATTCTCTTCAGGTGTCTTTGGATTACACTACTAAAGTTGACTTCCCATAGCATTTCGTTTAATTAACAATATTCTTGTATTCTCTGCAATAATTTATTATAATGCAAGCATCTATTAGCCTGACTTTAATACCTTCTCGTCACTACTTGTTTTATGCTCATTGTCATAGGAATTTGTTCTTTTTGGATAAAAGCATCTAGTAAAAAATCACAAGAAAAGATTCCTCATTATATCTTAATCCAATGTAAATGGTTTATTTCTTATTAAACCACAAAAACAGACTTATCAAATCTTATTTGAAAATAAAGATTTATTGTACTATAATATGATTATAATTTTATATACATACGTTATGTTATTTTATCTTTAAAAATTAATTTAACATTATGTAATTATTTATTAAAAGTTCTTTAAATGTGTCATGTTCAATATTCATTAAAAGTTATAAATTTTTATTGATTTTATTTGATTTAGCTAGCCATATGGGAATAACTGATGCACAATTCCAAACATAAATAACAACCAAAAGTACCGTAGAACCGCGGAGAAAAATATAAGACACAATTTGACCCACATTACTCCCAAACCCCTTACAGTTAAAAAGAAAATCTTCATCTTTTTTTCTTTTTTTTTTTTTTATGTCTCTTCAAATAATTAAGGTAAAAGGCGAAATACCAATCATAATGCTTAAAAGTGTAGTAAGTGATAACGTAGATCGGAATCAAGCAACAAGTTGTCCTAGTAGAAATCTAGACTAAAAAAATAAAAAGGAAAAGTGGTTGGCTTACTTGTGATGGACGGTTGGGATGAGTAGAAGAATAATAGAGGGACTAGAAAAGCCAAACAAAGAGCACAATCCCACACTCCCAATGGTCGGCTAACCTTAAAGCCCGGAAACAGCACATCTGAAACCTTATCTTCATCACCCCCACCCCCCCTCCCTCCCTCCCTCTCTTATCATTGCATCCCATAATCATACCCCTTTAGAATCGAATGCCTCCATCATGCCAAATCATTTGTGGGCTCCACATGTCTATCCGATGCCGCCCCATCTTATGTGTCACTTTTTTTGCCTGCCCATCTGGGCCGCCTCCTTTGTCAACGTGTGCAACTTTCAAATTAATTTTGAACATAAAGACTCTCAATTTAATAGGGGTATGTTTGATTTGAAAACAAATGATGAATCAAGAAGATCATTTCGTCCAAACGTTTTAATCTGTTTACATAATTAACATTTTAAGTTAATTGAATGTAATGATTTTTTTCTTCTTTCAAATCAAATATGCTTTTAAAGTCTCAAATGCTGATTAATAATTAAGACATTTTTATAGAGGAATGATGAGATGAGATGAGATGGAAGAAACAAACATTAGTGATGCTGAGCACTGCACATCCTTTGGTGTGTTTAACCAATTCTTTCCTTTGGTTTTGTTTTGTCGTTTAATGGTTGAGTTTAGGTTTAGTGGGGAAAACCAAATCATTCCCAATCATCTGTTTGAAATTTGGGTTTGTATTTGTGTATTAATTAATTTAAACTCTCTATTCCCATTGTGTCAAAGCCAACATTTTGATTTAATTGGATATAATGATTTTTCCATCCTTTAAACCAAATAGGTGTTTAAAGTCTCAAATTTTTATTAACAATAATTGAGACTCTCTTTTGGTATTAATTCTTAGTATCCGAAAATTATATTAGATCTTAACTAATCTGAAATTGAATTACATCAGATTCTGTAAAAAGAAATTCTCTTAATATTTATTTCTCTATTTGTGAAATTCAAAATCGAGATTTTATTTAAGAAAAATCAAGTTTCTTCCATTTAAATCAACAAATCATTAGTATAATTGAGACTCTCTTATAGCAGAATGATGGGATCATTGAGATAGGAGAAACAAACATTAGTGATGCTGAGCACTGCAAATCCTTTGTTTTTAAGCAATTCTTTCCTTTGGTTTTGTTTTGTCGCTTAGGTTAATGGTTGATTTTAGGTTAATTTAGTGGGAAAAAAAAATCATTCCCAATCATCTCTTTGAAATTTGGGTTTGCATTTATATACTAATGAATTAAAATTCTCTACTGTTTCAAAGTCAATGTCTATCTATTCGCACTACGAACATGGCAATGAAGGATTGGGTAACTCTTCTGTAGAAACTTAATGCCCGCCAAATAACTTTCCATGACCTAATCATCTCTTGGAAAAATAAAGTAAAATTTTTCATGTTGATTTCCCTAAAATCTTAATTTATTTATTTTAATATTTACTTAATGTGGTTTGGTACGTACATATTGAATATTTGAAACGTGAAATTAAATATATGATTGGTCACAACTCACAAGTTTTTTTTATTGACATGCCTTTAAATTAAAAAGACTTATAACTCACATGAATCATTAAACAAATATTAAATTATAAAATAAAATAAAAATATTTTTTAAAAAATAAAAAGTCATTTATTTTATGATTTATATATAATAAAGGGTTGAGATTTTTCAGTTGAAATTAGAATCAAATAATAATTCAAATAATTATAATTTTTGGATCGATGTAGCCTTATATTTACATTCAAAAAATTAACATTCACATCTAAAAGCTGTTATTGTTTCAATAATTATTTTAATCAATTTAGATTGAAAGATTAAAACACCTTCTTTAAAAAAATAATATATGGGATGGTTTGGGATGCCTCATGAATGAGAACCTCTCCATCATCATGACCCACAAAGGGAAGCATTTAAAGAGTTGAGATTCGTCGGTGGATTGACCGTGCCAAATTGGCATGATTATTTCCTACCAATTATTATGACAAGAGAAAAGATTGTTGAGTCTCTATATTTATGGGATATTTACGTGTTTAATCTTTTTTTTAATAGTAAAAATTTTTGAGGAAAGGAAACTTGAATATAAAATTCAAGTTTTAAATGTCTCGGTACTTCTCATATTGGAGTGATCAATAAATTATTATGTGTTTGGACATTTACGTGCTTAATTAGTTCAAAACTCAGCATCAACTTGTCAGTAATAGCAATTTTTAGTCTGCTGTAGAATTATTTCTCTTTAGAAAATCATAGAGGGTATAGATACCAAATGCACAATGATTTGAGGTGGGGTAGGCCCCATAGCAATATTGAGGGACCT